TTTTTTTTTTTAAATAGGAAATTATAAAAAACGTCAACATGTGCTGATATACACGTGTTCCATGTTCACTATCTCAGCGTACAGTGTTTGCATGCTAACATTTGCTTATAAGCAAGTCCGGCTTTTATAAGGAAAGTTTTTGCAGGTATCGTAATCCAAAGTTTAGGTTCAACAACTGGTTCTTGGTTTTAAAAAAAAGAGTTAAAATTAGTGTATCAGCATTCTAACAACCAGAAAAGGCTACTGGAGGGAACCTGAAGTCATTTCCAACTCGTGGTGGTTTCACAACAGTGGGTAGTAAACAACATCCGTTTAACAATTTAACTCTTTGTTAACAATCAGTCATCTTCAAAAACACCTACAAAAGGTGTATAGCCTACGTAAGGTAAGTAAGAGCTCGTATATGAAAAGAAAACATGAAACTCAAAACAGGTGGCTGTGGTTCAGTTGGTAGAGTCGTCGTCATCTCAACTGGAAGGTCGAGGGTTCGATTCCCATGTCCTGTATGTCCTTGGGGAAGACACTTAACCCTGAATTGCTCCCGCTGCTTCGTTCAAATGGGATTAATTACTTCTGATGATCTCCTAATAGCAATCACTGCCATCAGTGTGTGAATGGCTTTTACACAAGCTCACGTCCATTTACGATGTAACACCACAGGAGAAAAGGAGAAAAACTGTGACTCTCCATCCCTATTCACCTGTGACTCCTTTTTCTCCCTACTTGTGGCTGTGATTACTGCCTGTGACTTACCACACACACACTGTAACAACTGTAACATCAAATTAACGACAACAACTAGAGTAAAAGGTAACATGAAACATTTCCCAAAATATCCTGAGAGTGGCCACGACTATCTGTGACAAGTTCCATGTCAATTGGTTCAACTCCGAGCGGGCCACAGTGCTAAGCTATCAGACACATTTCAATCTCTAAGGAGCAGCTGAAATTCAAAGGCTCAATGATGCAACTGTGGTTGTTGAGCTGAAGCTGCAGGGTAGCAGGTGCACTGAGATGTGTGGTAAAATCACAAGGCACGAGGACAATCTGACAGTGAGGCTGTGCTGATACAGGACTTTGGAAATCATCAGTCTGAGCGCAGCTGAAAGATGAGAGCGCAGCCTGTAATAGGAGGGTTCAACATGCACAAAGGCCTCAGGTGTCTTTTTCTTTGAGTAAACCTAAACAAAGATGGTCAGTTTTCATCAAGCAAAGGCTTTGTTTTTGATCCCTCTTCCTCCTGTTGTGCAACAACATTTCCGCAGAATGTTTTTTTTGATTTGAGATCCTTTATACCCGGCTCAAATCACCTCAGTGTTAAAATGTTCCTTCCCTGTCCATGCAAATCTGTGTTGCATATCTGCCGGAGAAACAAACACTAACAGGATAACATCTGAAGGAATTTCCGGAAAAACTTCAATTGCTCTCTGTGCACCCTCACATCTTTTTTTTTTTTTTCCATTGTCCTCTAATCGGAAAAGACTGGTGGCTGGGGCTTGTTTCTTCAAGTGCAAATGTCAGGATGAAATCACAATACGGGAAGCTCTAAAGAACGAACCGCAAAGGTCAAAATCCTCGAGTTGTTCTTGCTCTGCTCTCTGCATTCCTGCTTCTCACAGATCGATCCGATGCTTATCTGTCAAGGTGGTGAGTAATTCCAACCATCACAAAAGATGGGAGCAAACGGAAAAACAACAAACCAACGCTGACATTCCAGAGATATCCCTCCCAAGTGCATTGCATCTGCGTGGAAAAATGTTATTGCATGCGCTTGGCCTTGTTTCGGAAAAGTACACAAGTTCTCTGTCACACAGGGGCTTACCGGCCTTTATAGAACATACTTTAGGAGAGATTTCAGGCCTCTGTAGGTGAAGGCGTCCAGACGGAGCTGGAATTAGTCAGGCATGTAGGTGGTAATGTGGCCAACATGACCTCAGGAAACCAGACAGGTAAACAGGGATGGCATGTCTTTTCATGCCCAACACTGCAGTGAATGAGTGTCTAATTTAGAGATGAAAAAATAAACAGGTTGATCAGATATGTAGACTCAACTCTTGCAACAGAACTCCCGAAGTGTAAAACATGACATTATGGGGACGTGGCGTACAGGTTAGTGTGCGGGCGTCATGTACAGAGGCGGTAGTCCTCCAAGCAGGCGGCCCAGGTTCAAATCTGACCTGTGGCTCCTTTCCAGCATGCCATTCCCCACTCTCACCCTCCCTGACTTCTGACTCTATCCACTATGGAAAGGGTGTACTTTCAAACTTTTCTACTTCTTGTCAAATGTAAAGACTGAAATGTATCCTTTTTGACGGACAGGCTACTTTTCTAGGAGGACATGATGTCATCTCTGCTGGGTTAGAAGCTAATATCGAACACAAGACTACAAAAAGGCACTGTACAGTAAAGTATCTCTCAGTGTTTAACACAGTAAAGTGTGTGTGTGTGTGTGTGTGTGTGTGTGTGTGTGTGTATATGTTTGGAGTTGAGGGAGGTCATGGAAATGTGAGGCATCATTAAGTTGTCACACATACATGAAAAGTTCATGGTTTTCTCTGTGTGGTCGAGCTGGAGCAGGGCGCCAACGTCCCGCTATGTGTCAGTGCAACAACACACTCTTAAGCTCGGGTTCAAACTCAGGGCCGCAGGGATTTATAATGCATTTCCAAAAAGTCATCAAGGAACGGGAACGGATGTTAATTTAAGGGTAAAAGCTATCAGAATGACGTGTTTTATGTAATATTTTGTGGTTTTCTTGCTTGGAATCAGCAAAAAAATATATATATATATTAGTAAGAAAAAGCAATTTTTGCTGGAGAAACTGTTTTTGTTTTACAATTTCAGTTGTACTCTGGAAAATTGGCTTCATTTTTTCCAGTACGTTTAGCTGATCCCTCTTTTATTCGCCACACACTCAGCAGTAAGTCACCCAAAACAACTCAGCAGAAGCAGCACAACCCATGACGTTGGTACGACCTGGCTTGGTCAGTGCTGCTGCTCTTCTGTGGTTATTTAGTCAGTGTCAGCCTTCATCCTCCCCTTTACCCTACCTGACTCTGCACTCCAGGTTTCCTCCGCAGAGTGGTGAGTTAGCAAGGAAGGAGCCTGATGTAAGCGCTATTCGATACATTGAGGTTTCCTCCCCCCCCCCCCTAAGCTAATGGGAAGTCCTTCGCTAGCAAGATATGTGGCTTTGCAGAACAACCTCTGTGTGGAACCAAAAAGAACAATCGGCTCATTGTGGCGAGTCAAAGGTAATGACAGAGAAACCAGAGAGTGATGTAAACAAAGATTATATCACTCTACCTGCAAAAAAAAAAAAAAAGACACTCCCACATTACGGCACGAGACGCCCTTCCAGTTAAAACTCAAATCATTTCAAAGCATTAACGCTGACAGCAACAGCCCATCTTTGTTTAGCCCATGCACTGCCAGTGAATGAATAAGTGTTTTACCCCTGCCAGCCTGCTTATGTGGTTACTTCAGCTGATATGCTGCCATGTTTTACACTCTAATAAAAGCTAATTGGTTCCAATTCAGAGAAACACATAAAGCGCCTCACACGGCTCATAAGCCCCAGGTGTAAAATCAAACTTGTTACTTTCACTGGAGTTGTGTGACCGCAGGCCTCACCACATGCCGCTGCCTATTGACAATACTTTCAAACCACCAAACACACATACTGTAACATTATGTATTTCCCCTTACGTTACATTTTCTGTGCAGAGATTTGTCTCTCAGGTGCAGCTGTGAACATCCAGCCCAGCAGCAGTCAGGGGCACCAATGTATGTGTGTGTGTGTATGTGTGTGTGTGTGTGTGTTTGTGAGGCAAAAATGTATCTTTAAACCACTCCCCATTTGTAAAGATCAAAGATGTCTTGCTGAAACACAGGGTCACACCCACACGATCTTGCGCAGCTACCAAAATCCTGACCGAGTCAAAGCCCAGAGAACCCCTCCTGTAGGAGGGAAGGAGCTTGCTTTGCCCTTCAACCACCAGACTACCTCAACACACGAAACAAGACACATGTTTTATGTCTGGAAAAAAAAAAAATCACGTTCTTAACAAGCAGAGTTTAGAAAATATTGCATGACAGAGAAGTCAAGCAGCGATGTGTTGTTAAACAATGGATGGCTGTCTGAAGTATGGATGAATGGTTCACATTTGGGGCTCTGCTTATTAAGCCTTTAAAGTCGTTAGCAGGTAATTATTAAATACCTGCCCAGTTCTGCAAGTGGCACATTCAGACACAGGTTTATATGCAGCAGCAGTGCATTTGGAGAAGTACGACAAACGCTCATCAGTGTAGTGCTCTGTATTGAAACTATGTTACATTGCATCGTCCCTATTAAAACAATAAATTCAACAGGACGCTGCTGTTCAGAATACAAAATACAAAAAAAAAAAAACATGATATATTTTTCAAGTATGCTGCAGAATATCAGAGTACTTCTAATACTCATCACAATTTTGGTATAAAATGCAGGTATCTGTAATTCTCATGTCAAGTATTGGTTGCAAAAAACTCCCCTGGTTTCAGGTGAATTATCATCATTGTTGTGTGACAATATTCATGTATAATTGTGTGATGCTGACAGAGAATATCATTTAAGTCTAAGTTCACAAAATGTCGGCAATGAGTGTTTTCCCATCATGTATATTTTGTAATCACACGAGCTTTGGGGGAACTCGTCTAGGTATCAAAATTAGTATGGAGTGGAAAAAAGTGGTATTAGAAAGTACTTTATACAAAAACATTATTTAGCTCATGTTAACCCTTTCAGTGGTAACACAGAGTCCAATTTATCCCATGAGGAGCTTGTCAGCACCCTTCATTGAGATAAAAAAGAAAGAAAGACTGTCTATGTGTGTTAAAGCAGTAAAAAAAAAAAAAATTAAAGGATGCTTTTTCAAGCTACTTTGAAGATACAGTGGATCATCTTTACGGCCTCGGAGAGAGGAGGTGGAGTGATTGCCTGCCTGGGTGTCTGATCTTACCTCTGCAAAGGTTCTGGTCATCTGCAGTGAATCCGTTTGTACAGCGGACTGTCCGGCCGGACTGAGTGTTTCTCTGGTCGCCTGAAAACACCCGAGGGGGCTGAGGCTGAATTGGTAAGGCGGGAATGACAGGAGGGATGGGAGGGACAGCCTCTGGCAGTGGCACCTGCTCGCCCTCCTTGCTGATGTAGATGACGGCGCTCTTCGGGAGGCAGAGGTACCCACCAAAGTGGTTGATACACTGCATGCCTCCTTTGCAGGCATCGTCTAACAAGGCACACTCGTCGATGTCTGACACAGGAAAGAAAGAAGATGTTGTATACACTCAAATTATTTTAACTGGATAGAAGGAAATCTTCTGTGAGGCTGACATGAAAACTGATGAAATATGAAGACATTGTCAAACTCATCGGGCATGAAGAAAGGAAGATTTCATACACATTTTTACCTTTGCACTGCTCTCTGACTCTGTCATACTCATAGCCTTCTGTGCACTGTGAAGGACAGATGATACAACACATAATTCACTCCTCTAACGTGTCACTACATACACAAAATAGAAACACAGACTCTGAGTTTTACATCCGCAAATGAAGGTGCACATCATCTTTAAAGCAAGTTGTGTTAAGAAAAATTCTCTTCACTTACCGTGTATGACACTGGCTCTTCAGCCTCCTGAGAGAGGACATGAGTGAAAACCGCACAAAGACAAACGCAGATACCCAGCATGTCGACCAAACGTCGGAGCAGCACTGTAACGAGATGCAAAGAGGCACCGAGTGGATAGGAGCGTGCAAGATCATTTTTCACTTGACAAGCCTACATGTTTTAATACCAGTTATTACATCATTGATGGCATTGCTTAACGAGTCCCAACATCTCCCACTGCTGGCGTGATGTTTATGTTGGCGGCGCTCCAGCTAAATCTGCGACTTCAAGTAGGTGAAGTGTTTTTCTGCTGTTTTTTCTCCAAAAGGATTAGTGCGTAATGCGCGTAAAAATGCGTGCGTAAACATGCCCCTTGTGTGTCAGGGAAAATGAACGAGTCAATCAGCCGTCCAGAACTCGTATTTATTAAAAATCTGCTCATGCAAAAAAAAAGATATATACAACGTGTCCAATGCAACATTAGATATGGGTTGTTTTTAAAGCTGCCTTGTTTTAAGATACGGACACTTGCAACCGTATATATCCCGAAGGAAGCGAATTATATCATAATTAACTGCGTATTTTACTCACTTTATCGACACGAACTCGCCTAAAGCAACTCTTCTGTAGTTGTTCTCACCGATTTCTGATAAGATTGCTGATGTGTTGTTGCTTTGTCGTCTTTTTGTGTCTTAGCTTGCGACGTACCTGCGATTACCTGCGGATCTCCAACTCTCCTGGCGTGCTGAAGAAAAAAAAGAGGTCCCCGATTGTTGTTGTTGTTGTTGTTGTTGTTGCAGATCCGAGTGCGCGTTGCGGACTGGTCTTGGGTTGGAAGTTAGGTGATGTTTGTCGGAGCGCAAGAGCACTGGGGATGAACATGCGGATCGTACAGTATGACATGCTGGGGGCGGTGAACCGGGCAGGTTGAGCTCAGTGTTCGTCTCTCACCGGGATGCAGGAAACCATCAGCTGGAGGGATACACTGGCTCCCTCTATGGACTGGCTGATAGTGTTGAAAAATTCTAATTTGCCATCTATTGTCAATTAGGTTTTAAACTTGTATCAGTAGAAATCGACGGCGTTATGTGAACCACAGTATCTCTGCCTGGGCTCGAAAGAACACACAATTGATTATTTAGTTCAGCAATATGATCGCCTTCACCGTGTCAGTGTTCATTAACAGACACGCAGAGAAGAGTGATTTGTTTCCTCATTTTAATCTGATTTAAACATTTACTTTGGAGGCAATCTGGAGTAACATCCAGTTTGAATACTCAAGGCGAACACTTCGTTACTCCAAGCTTGACCCCCCCTTGACTTCTTACGTTCTTCTTTCGTTGTTGCATGCAGCCCCTTCCATGCTATGAGGGGCCTCCGTGACTTTATAAATGTATATGTACAGTAGGCTATGTGAGTCCAGCAGGTGGTAAAACCCAATCATGTGTTGATGGCATCTGTCAGTGAGCACTATATTAGCCTCTAATAAATTTTATGGTGTTTACAAGATGCCTGCACTTCAAGAACATCTGCTGAAATTGGCATGGCTTCCTGGATTTCCCATGGGTAAAGACACTAAGTGATTGTGTGTGTAGGCATGTGTGTGAGTGTGTGTGTGTGTGTGTGTGCCAACAGCTTGCTGATATGAGTGGACAGAGATGGACTTGGCAATGCCTCTTTGGATTTTGACCTTTTAAGCTGTCCTTAAAGTGAGTGGATGGCAGAAGTTTGGAGAAAGATTCTGCACGGTGACACGTCCTGATGTTGCAAGAAAGTAATTTCTTCTTTAGCCAGATTCTACCGTTTTAGGATTCAAATTTAAGTTTTAGTTGAATCTTTAACCTGAATAGTTGACTTTTAATCAGTAATTCTAGCAAGTTAAACCCATTCAAAACATGAAATATAAGAGCAGATAAATGGCCCAGTGTGATGTAAGGGCACTAACATCTGCTTGCATGATGACTGAATGACATGGAAAAACTATAGGAACTAAATAACAGTACAAGCATGGATGACCCCAAATAAATGCACAAGGTTTGACTTTCACTAAAGGTTTATTCTCTTTACAAGCAATCCAGTTTCACATAATCACACCAATATTGACATAATAAAGCATCTACCATAATGAAACAGTTTATGGAGATAAATAGATTTTTATAAAAGACTGTTTAAACAGAGAATCAGAGGATGTTTACAGGGGAAATTATAATCACAAAGGCATGGCAGGAGTGAGTCCAAATAACGTGTTTAAAATGGCCTTAAACACAGTGAAGGTGATTTCCAGAACAAAGAAGGAGTTGGTACTTTGTGACGTTTCTTTCGATGCTGAAGGCAATGCATCAGGTACTGTTGGCTATTGAGCATCAGCCAATCAGTTCCTGATGCAGTATCATCCACATCAGAAAGCTCTTCCTTCACTCCAACATCAGTGCAGGGGCATCAAGAGCAGTTACGACTTCTTTAAGTCTTTCTAAAATATCTCCTACTGGTGGGAGGTATGATAAAAAAAAATCCAAACTCATAAAACAAGCCATTAATATTCTTTTCATCCTTTGATAACACAATAGCCAATACTGTACAGTACACATCATTGTAAGTCAAGATGGCAGCAGAAGCATCTGGAACGTGAATTCATGCAAATTAAAAATGGGCATGTATTATGAAGGAGCTGCAAGAGATGAGGCTGCACTTCAAAAGACTGTCGAAAAGAAATTTTTAAAAAGTGGGAACGGGGGATGTGAGAGGAGGAAGAGCAGACAGAGAGGGTGTCTGTGAAACGCACATGTGTAATTGTAGTGACATCTTCATTGAGAGCCCTCCATCTCTTTCCTGTGAGCTCCAAAGGGCGTCTCTGACGCCGGTCGATGGGGAGAGCAGCCGAGGCGCTGTGTTTAGCATAATCCCAGAGGCCATTGTGAGAGCAGCTAGTGAACGACTCACAGTTGCCAGCTGAGATTTCACCAAAACACAGCAGAACACAAGAAGAAGGGGATGAGACAGGAAAAACAGAGGTGGAGGGGGGAACGAGCAGGCAAAGGACTCAGGAAAGAGAAAGGATTGGTAGTAATGAGGAAAAAATGCAGGTGTGTCAGATCTTACATTACACAGAATATGTAGAGAGATATTTTTCACATTAGAGGTGTGGCTCAATGTCTGCAGGATCAGGGTGTAGTAGGTTTTCTGTGGTTAGTGTGCGTCTTACCCAGCATCAGAGAGGCAGAGCATAAGGTGTAAAACATGCTTTCTTCCAGGTGGACTGCACCTGTTGGCCCATACTTAGGACAGTACTTCATTGTCATTCTTCATTTAAAGAGTCACTGGCAGCATTGATTTGTAACAGAGGCATGAAAAGATTAATCTAAAGTGCAGCATGACACATGTCAATATGTCTTCTATTGTGCAGATATTCTTACCTGAAAGTAGTGTGAAATCCTATTTGATCAAGCAGATGTTTTTTTTGTTGTTTTGTTTTTTTTAAATCAACCTCAAGTAAACGGTTAGGTCCCCTAATATGCCGCAGAACAATTAAATCCTAACAATTGCAAGGATTCTTTTTGACTGAATGGTTTCTGATAGAAAAAACAAGTAGAATAAATATACCGTGAACATAGTTTTAAGGTTTACAGGGTACATATAAGACGAACTGCAGAATCTCTCCAGGTGATTGTGGGAATATAAAACATCATCACAGTTGCCTGCAGAGATTACCCAGTCAGCCCAAAGATTCCTCTCACACACATACCCCCCCCCCACCACACACACAGTCTGTGGTGGGTATGTGTTATATCCAATAAGTCAATCGGCAACAGACGGTTAACACAGATCAGGATAAAGACGGAGCTTTGACCCCCGCCCTCCCCTACCGTTCCAAAAGGTCCTGTGTTACCATGGTTACAAGGCCTAGGCACGTGCCTCCTTTTGTCGAGCAGTATCCTCCAGGGTCAGCTGCACACCCAGTTAGAGGTCAGATGTCACCCTGGCCTTTCACTTAGGTCACCACTCACCAGCCTCCAGCCTTTGACCCCAACAAACACTGAAACAAATTGAGAAATGGGGGAGGGAGGGGAGAGAGAGGAAGAATTGAACATATTTACACAAAAATCAGGGTGTAGAGCAGCTTCAGGCTTTTTGAGTGAAGATTAGTTGTGTAGTCTTGTGCGGGTGATGTATAGAGTAAGGTAAAGTATCTCTCTGCAGGTTACAGTATGTCTCCCTCTTGTGGTGAAGTATAACTTCTGATTTTTTTTTTGTGGACTTCTGTGCCACGGAAAAGGAGAATATGGGGCATCCTGGGAGTCAGTGCTGTACATAAAAATTCTATTACATTAATTGAGCTCTAGTCCTATACCTTTGTTCAATTAACCAATATATTTCCCAGCTTTTGTCTGAATCTACACTGAAAAATCTGTTGCACAAGCATATCAAAGAATGTACACATTATCCTTGAGGTCACTAAAAGGCATTCATTAAATATCCACATATTCATGGTCACATAAATCACGCTGAAAAAAAATTGTTGACCCAATCTTAAGCTTAATTCACAAAGAACCTTCAGGAAATCAGACCTGTGTCCACACATTTGGGGAAGTCTCTAACCAGAGGTGCCATCTTTCCCATTGAACCTCAGTGCATGTTGGGAGATTCAGGTCAACGAGTTGCAAAGTGTTGCTCGGGCGTTGACAAAAGAAAAATCTTAAGTTTATTAAACGGAACAGGCTGACAGTCCACACTTTGTTAGGCAGTGAATGAACAGAGTGGTTTTGACAGGCCTAACCTCTTAAGCTTCGGGTCCCACTGAGCTCGGCACAGCTAGAGCTAAATGCCATCTGTCCCAACATCATGAGGCCCCCCCAACCTGTCCCCCAACAGTTTAGCATAAAAATCAAGCAACACTGCTATTAAAAGAGGAATAACATTTCATTTTAGCCCCTTAAATTATAAATAATACAGATTAATAATTTCAGTTGTGCAGGTTTGATGTTCTACAAACAATTGCTGTTTATTATCCACATGCCTTGATTTTCAAGGTTGGAGGTATTTGCACAGTGGATTACAAAAAACTTTTTTTATTAAAGACTCTAATAAAAGTGAATACTTTTTCAGACCATAAAAACCCTAAATGATCTCGTATCTTTTTCTCCTACAGAGCGTTGTATAAGTAATCAACCCCCTAGAGCTACTGCATATGTTGTCATGCTATGACTGCAAATTAAAAGAGAGTTCATCGGGTTGTATGTAACAGACAAACACAAAATAGTCCATCATTTTGTAGAAGTACAGGGAGTGTACAGGCTCCCCTAAAGTGTAAAGGGGTTGGAAACTTATGTAAGGAACTGTACGCCTTTGGCCTGAATGTTGGACATGTGCAAATGCGGCATCATTAAACTTAAATCAAGGAGCTGGACTTAGTTGACGGTGGAGCTGAGCAGATACTGACCACCTATAAAGTTGTCATTCCTTAACTATTACTATAGAGAACCAGTCAAATAAGAAAAACAAGTTTTGTAAAAGTTTAGATAGTGTTAATAATGCTACTCTTGCTGCACATGTTGACCATGTTTTTTTTTTGTTTTTTTTTAAAGATAAAGAGAACGTGTGGGATTTCAGTCTAACAGTGCACGGTCAGGGTCAAGATGCACGTTACTGATCAAACAATAACGAGCAACTCAAACCATGGAGCATTGTTTTCTTCAGTTAGTCTCTCACTGTGACTCATCAATGGCTATCTTAATTTAGGTTTTGAACAATTTAATTTTACGCTTTACTGACTTCCACTTACAGCACAGAACAATAAAATAATGATATCACCATATGAACTTTAGTCTCCATCCTTTCACAATGTGGTCTGCTCCGTTAGCTGTCATCTAACGTTAAGAGCACTGAGTGACCTTTGTGCCCACCAGCCAATGTGTGTTCTTTAGCACTTCATTAAGGCCCTGGGCCTTCTCC